TTGCGTGCGTTGCGTGCGTGCGTGCGTGCGTGCGTGCGTGCGTGCGTGTGTGTATTATCTTTTAGAAATATTTCTTTTCTTATATATTTTTCTCATACGTTTCTATCTTCCTCTTCTTCCTGTTCTTTTGTTTGTTTCTCATATCTTCGATAATGTTTCATCTATTAATCATTGAATTCTTTATTTGGAATGAAAGCAGAATGATACAATACGAACTTGACGATTAGATAAAAACCGCATGAATTGAAACAATCTTTTTTATCTTTATAAATAAATTTGTAATATGATGAAAGAAAGATAAATTTTCCATTATGACTTCTCTGTCAGGAAAATATCGTGTTCTCTTGAGTCACGTGACCTAAGAACATAGTTGCTTATCGCTCATTTCACTAGGATACAGTTCAATAGTTTTCTCATTATATCTTATAATCATATGTTCAAATGTTTCTTACAAAATGATATACATACTTAACAATTATATCTGTAGTAAAAAGAAAAAGCGGAGCGAATGATTAGAGACAAATAATCATTCGCTAAGAGTTTATTCGATAAAATTGCAATGCCAGGATTGATCGAACTTCAATTCGCGCCGATCGCACATCTTTGCTCAAGCTTGGCGGATGACAGCGGGATACAATATGGCGGTTTGTACCGCTCGGTGGGATATGCCGTTTTGGCCCATCCGCGGCACGAGGGCTCGCGGTCCTCTCACGCGGCCCTGGCAGCACGAACGTGCAGAGAGACGGGACGAGAAAAGGTTGGTGGGACCAGAGCCAAGCTGTCTGCCGCTGCCGCCGCGCCGCGCTGGCTCGCTCACGGAATCGCCGCGCGGCGTGGCGCGGCGCGACGCGGCGCGGCGGTGGCGTGGCGACCGGGAGCGCGAGCGACCGAGCGACTCTCGTTGCGCGCGTTAGGTAATATGTAAATCCTTTCCTCGAGAACGCCTCTCTCGTAGCGACCAACTTGTTTTTCAAGGACAATGAATTTACCGATGGACGCATTCGCGCGGAAAAGGCTCGTCACGCTTGCATTCCTTCGCGGTGCATTATGGTGGGCGCGGACGCGGGCGCGCGCCGCGCGCGCCTTAGCAAAAGGTGCCTTGCCGCGTGGATAAACATGCTACGCTACAGCGGGCCCAGCGAGACCTTCTCGCGGACCAACGGCGATAGAGATAGATAGACGAATGGAGAACGCGACCCGAGAATCTTGGGGGCGGGTCAGGTATGCGACGGGGAAAAATACGGGGTTCCTCGGACGCGTTCACGAAACGTTTTCGAGAGACCACCCGCGCGCTTGGCATGGCCCTCCAACGACGCATAAATACGAGATCCCACGTTCGTTAATCCCGTAGGAATTTATTCGCGCGCGCGCGTGCATCGTCGATTTGTTGCCAATCTAATCCCCTGAAATCGCGCGAGGCGAGAATGCCGACGGCGATGACGACGAGGCGGTAAACAACCACCGCGCTCCGCACGTCGTTCTCCGTCGCCTCTACCTTGAAACGACAACATCCGACGCGAGCGGCGGATATTTGCATTCGCATTCGCGCGCCGTTGCCCAGGCAGCGCTGGAATGCGGTGCGCTGGAATATACAAGGATAAGGTCGGCGCGCGGTGCTCTTCGAAGCGCGCGCAAGTCACATATAGCATAGGCGCGTCATCGTCTAAAATAATCGGGCCAGGCCGACGGCGGGGTGGCGGCAGCGGCGACAATGAGCGCGGCGACGACGGAGGTTGAGGAGGTTGAGGAAGAAGTGGGTCGGAGAGTAGAGCGGTGGGACGCGATGGGAAAGAAAGGAAATAGAAGAAGGAATCTCGCGATCGCGCGCGAGTGCGTCGCGCGTGTCTCGAAGTAGAGAGAAAGATAGAATAAAATAGAGAGAGATAAAGAAATAGAAAAAAGGAGAAAAGATCAAAAAAGACGTTTAAGAGAGAATAAAGGCGAAAAGAAAAATCTCGTGTACGTAGCGAGAAAAAAGAAAGAGAAAAAGAAATAGGAATTCTTGCTCACCTAACTAATCGCGTGTCCGTAGTTCGAGCAGCCACGGCATCTCAAGTCGGGGCCCGACGATTGCACCACGCGTAACCTCACCTGACACTGACACCAGTCGTGCGCGTGGTCCACAACGCAAAAACCAGGAGGGCACTCTCCGGTGCTCCGGTGTGCTGATGGTCGATCCGTGCACGGCGGAAAGAGGAATAGGGGGAGGGGGAAGGGGACAAGGAAGTTTAAGAAGAGAAACGGGGAACGATGTAATCACGACAGCAGCAGCGACGGCGATGATGATAGTGATGATATTATTGCTGCTGCTACTGCTGCTGCTGACGATGATGATGATGATGTAAAAGCGATGTGATGTTGATGTTGATGCGGCTCCAACGAATTATCACATACACACACACACACACACACACACACACACACATACACACACTTAATACACAAATAAACAATCAAGCCACCCGCGCGCGCGCGCGCGC